TTCCATTCATGTTAGCAAACGAAGGAGAATCGGCTCTTCCTACGTTTTGCAAGCCTGGCCAAGCAAGCGGAGACTGAGGCATCTGGAAAGGAGAGTTGTTGCCGGAAAACGAGATTGATGCTCGCGGGTTGAACTTTCCAGGGACAAACGGTACTGGAGAGGCACCTTGGGGGATATTTGGACTTTGCGTTGCCGAATTGAACTGACCAGGGAAGGGAAAACCCATCGGAGCATGGTTGCTTGAAGCCGACGATGTTGGAAGAGGAGGAGAAAATGGAAGAGGAGGATATTGGGCAGAAGCTTGTCTGCTGGGCACAGCAGATTCGAGCGGCGAAGGCGCGGCTGGCTCATCATCGCCGAAAGACACACCCAGGGCGCGCAACTTGGCCTCTTGCAACTCATCGACATAGTTCTTCCAGGCGTTCAAGTCAGGCAGTGTAACCTGATAGTGGCGCTCCGACCTTTCCTCAACAACGTCGTCATGGTCCGGCCAGGCGCCGCGGCTCTGTGCATTGTGCGACCCTGTAGGCTGATAATCATCCACCATCAGATCGAAACCATCCACACCATAGCCTAGTTCTCTCCACGAAGCAAACATTTTTTCTGTTTCTTCCTGGCGAAGCGGCTTAGGTGGCTTTCCAGGAAGTCCTCGCTCTTCATCTCGCGGTAGTAAAACCATGATGTTCTTGCCCTTCCATGGCACCTTCTTCTTTATACGTGGCGTCATGGCCGGCTCTTTCGGCAATGGCTTTTGTGTGATTTTTGTCGGGGTCGAGAACTTAGCCTCCCCGTTCAGGGCAGGTTTCGTCTTGGTAGGAGTCATAGGAGCCGCATCGTCGGTTACGGGAGTCTCCGTCGCCGAGCGACCTCCTGGGGAGCCGGGCTGGTTATCCGCAGTTGCCATTTTAATTAATTGTTTTGAACCTCTTGGGGTATTGGTATCCGCTGGCTTCAGGGTTTCCACGCTTGATCGACCGCGCGGGTGGAAAGGCCGAACAGGATGTGCCGAGTTTTTTCCCTTTGAAGCTTTCGGTGTTCGGAGATCAGATTCCCCAAGCCAGCCAGCTTCTGAGCCGCTCAACGAAGAGTGCTCACTGCCACTACCGTCACTGAACCAATGGCGAGGCTCAACGTTCTCGAGGTCACCAGAGGTGTGCGTACGTATCCAGTCTTCAGTCAAGCCTCTAACCTGACGTCGCACCCGGTTCGCAAGGACTGCTGCTGCCGCGCTGATCCCAGGCTGTGAGTTCTCTCCCGATAGCGATGCAAGTTCGGGGGGTGGGCGAAGAAAAGGGGTATCGATTGCCAAATTATGAACTGGAAACTCGTCAGAGGCGTCGCTACTGAAGCTTCGCCGGCGCAAATTACGGTCAGTGCGCGGGTATGGTGAGCCCCAGCTTGCCGTCCCAAACTGATTATCCTCGTCTGTGCCAGCAGAAGGTGACCTCAGGAGGTTCTGAGTGCGCGGCGGCAAAGGCGGAGCTTGGAGCGGAGGCAGCGCCGGGGAAGACTCGAGACCGTCCGAACCGTCTGCAGTCGATGCGTCGGAGAGGGCTGGCGACCTAGGCGACTGCGGCTGGGTTTTGGAGTCCACTGCACTTTCGTTCTGTGCAGAGTAGGCACCTGGGGCTGGAGTTGACGACTTCGGAGGCGACGTCGTCACGAGAGTTCTGTGTGCGCCGAGAACATGGTCAGAACTGCGGTGGCCGTTGACGATTCTCACTAGAGGCTCACTTACCAGTTGAGATTCAGCGCAGACGAGAAAATAATCGCCTGCAGCTGACTCTCTGTTCACGCGTCTCAAAAGCTAGGATGCTCCACGGTATCCTTTTTTTTATGAACAGGGTCACGGACGCTGCCAGAATGCCGTAACAAAAGAAAGACGGAAATCCAAGGATGAGACGCGTCTCTCGAATTCGACCGTTCGGTCAATCGCTGGCAGGAACCACCGCTCGATTTCCTTGGGCCATAAAGGGGGGACCGAGGAAATTGGTGCTGTTGAGCCTGGGGCCTGGGGTTCAACTCAGGGACGTGTAATTACCACGCAGTACTAAGAGGCCCGCCTAGGATCTAGGAAAACGGGGTTGGTAATAAAGGAGCGACTAAAAAGCACAGGCAAGCCGACTGGTCGATGCAAACAACGACATCGAAAAGAACGCAAACAAAAGAATTGGTTATGTACAGCCAGTGCCGGGCTCCTGACGGGCTTGAGATGAAGGGTTGACAGTTCAAAGACACGTCCGATTCTTTTTGGACGGGGGGGGAGGAAATGGGAGGGAGATGGGAGACAGTGGGAACGTGGCCAGCAGGGAGCTTTTCGCAGATGGGTAAGGTACATGTACTCGCCCTCGGCCGCAGGTACCTCGCAGCAAGCTGACGCTGAGGAGGTACCTGAGGTGTGATTGTTACTATTTTCTTTGGGCAGTTGGATTTGTCCGTCAGTCAATCAGCTTCCTGCGTGTTGTAATTGAGGCCCGCTCCGCCTTGCCTGTGCACGCGCAGAACTGGGGGTGTAGCAGGGGTCATGGTAGCGAGTCCCAAGCCCCGGCGATAGCCAGCTACCTGTCAGGTGCCCGTCAAGCACAGGAATAAGCCCTGCGCCGTTGTACCTTCCAAACAGTGAACCGCAACCGTGGTCCGTGGAAAGTCTGGACACGGTGCAGCAGCTTCCTCGAGGCTTCCTTTGTGGGCAAGGAGGGAGGACCCGGTTGGGGTGGACCCCAGATAGCTGGGTGCGCCAGTCGTTGGCACCAGACGCGTTGAACTTGAACATCAACATTCATGCGGCTGCAGGTCTCTTTTTCCGTCAAAACCACAGGTACATGCACATTCTACGCTGGGGCGCGTGGTGGCTGGCGGGAGCAATGGAGGGCAGGATCCAGAAAGCTCACTCTGTCCTATCACAGCGAGGCCGAGACAGTTGGGCAAATACTACGTCGAGTCTGGTCCTTATCGGGGAGGCAGGTGCTCGAAAAAAAAAAAAGATGGAGCGAATATTTCTAATGAGAGCAGACAACTTGGCAGCTCTAACCCCAAGAGTCATCCAGACCGTAGGTACCGATACCTGGCCCTCCAGTCCGGAACAAATGACGTATGGGCCAATAGGAGGCAGCCTGGGCCGTCACATCCTGGCTGGCATTAATGATCTGACGCGACAAAGCAAACCCAACTGCGCTCACCCAGTCTTTATACTGGAATACCGGTGCATGCGCTTTAGCATCATAACAAGGGCCCCTCGTGGTGGGAAACTTGCTCTTTCGGCAACATGAAATTCGCGAAATTCGCGAAAACCGCGTCGCAACTATTCGGCGCGGGGCCAGCACTGCCCAGGTAATCTTCTTCTAACAGGGCGCCTTCACTAATGGCTCTTACTTCTACTGCTATTGATTGATCCGTCGCTCCTTGAAGGTTTCGGCCTGAACCGCGTGTGGACTCCCCAGGAAGAACTACCTTACCTTTCACAGTTAGAGGCCGATCCTCAACGTCTACAGGGGCGTTGGCTGCTGGGTGTAAACGGTAGCTGCCCAACACAGACCAAGAACCATTCCGCCTCTTTGTGGGTATTATTGGCATTGCCAGCTGTTCAAACATGTTTGATAAGGAAGGTCGTAGAGAAAGAAGTAGAAAACAATCGAAAGTGAGGAAACATGATTTCTAGGATATGCTAGAACACAACGTAGCATACATTGCTCGAGAAGAAACGAAGGGAGCTCAGCAACAAGTGTATGTTGAAAGCCCTCAAAATCATACAGAACGCACGACAAGAAAGACCCTGAAAACAATAATAGAAAAGCACAAGGGGTCGACGGCACCAAAGAACCCCGCGTTGTCGAGGTTTGCCACCTCATAATTTCATTGACGACGAATCTGTTATTTGCCCTTGTGTATAGGGTAGCATCAACTGAGTAGTCCCCAAAAGCTCGCGAGCCCGTTTCTTGCAATAAAGCAAACCAGTTTGCCAAACTGACCCTGCAAGATACCCTTTTCCCCATGCCTCCTTCTGCTCACCGCCCACGTTCTAAGAGACATTTCCAGACATGCATTCCAGACATGGCTTTCACGAATCGTTGGAGAAGCGCGTCCGCAGGTGTCTCAGACAATCCCGCCTGCCGTGAGCAAGCTTATTGCATGATTCATGAACGGCTGGAATGCGAATGGGGGTTGTATAAAGAAGTACGTGTGTCACGACATGCACCAGCTTGCTATACACAGAATGCTGAAATGTGGTTCCTATGACTCTAACCAAGGCGAAGCCTGCCCTGACCCTAAATGCTAGCCACGACCAAGAGAGGTCAAACTTGACACACGAACCCCTCTACAGATATATTGCGAAGTGGTTGACATGGAATATGGTTCACCTTAGCACTCAATAGGCCACCCTTAAAGCGTACACTTGATTCATCATCTCCCAGCTAGGTATAAGCCATGAGTTAGCTCATTGTACACTTGGGTCTTGGCCTAGGGTATGCCATTACATTTGAAACGATGTATTCTCAAGCGGGTCAGACTTCAAGTTGAGAACTTCACAGCGGAACAAAAGATTTCATCAAATTGCGTTGAAAATTAGGTAGATACAGTCTATACATATTCAAGGAGTGTGTCTCTGGACATCACCCTATGGGGTTCGTGCGATATATTCGCCACATTAGATCTGGGGTATGTCTCTAGATATATAAAATTCATGCGGCGATTTGTCTTCGCTATGCTACCATGCCGTGTTCGCTCCATGTCGGTCCAGTCTCGCATTGAGAATCCGGGACAGGCCGCATGAGCTGATCCAACACCACCGTACAACCTAGCAGGTGTTGCCGTGTAAAAATAAAATGAAAGGAATGCTTGTTTTTTTATAAGAGCTGCGAGCCCCCTGTCCTGAACGCCGTCTATCACAACCGCCACAAACGTAAGTTGAAGCCAGGTACACATGACGCTCGCATCATGGCATGGCTCGGTATTATATGCTTATTTGTTTTATTTTGCCCGTCTCCGACGCCTACTTCATCTTAGAAGTTGGAAGACGCGTTGACTGGTTGGGAAGGCTGGTGATAGTTCTCAAGCGTGGACTGGAAGGGGGATCGTCCAGACTGTGTGGGAGGGAGGCCGGCGGAACTAGGCTCGACCTTGTCGACAGGAGTGTAGCCGCCGTTGTATTCCATGAGACCGTCGTTCTCCTCGGCAAGCTTCTTGCGAGCACGGATCCTCCAGGCTACGAGAGCGAGAGCACCCAGGAGGATGGCGCCACCAACACCACCAACGACACCACCGATAATCTTCTTGTTGTTGTCGCTCAAACCGGATGAGCTAGAAGAACCGCTGTCGTTGAGATCAGGGGTGGTGGTCGTCACGGAAGCACTAGTACTGACGACCTGCGCACCATCAGAGTTGGTGTAGGTGACGGTAAGATACGAAGTAGAAGTGACTGGGCTGGCAGAGGTGGTCTGCTTGCTGTCAGACTGAGCAGCACTCGTCGTCGCCCTGGAGGCTTCCTCTGAGGTGGAAGTGGTCTGTTGGGCGTTGCTGGTCTGGGCGGCACTGCTGGTCTGGGCGGCACTGGTCGTTTGAGCGGCCGAGCTCTGGGCGCTCGTTGATGCTTCGCTCCTGGAGGTTGTAGACGCGGGCTGGCTAGTCGATGAAGCTTGGTTCTGGCTGGATGTGCTTTCGGCCTTGCTGGTCGTGCTCTCCTTGCTAGTGGTCTCCTGCTTCGCAGAAGATGTTTGGGCGGCACTGGTAGGGACGGATGCCGCGGAAGTGGATGGACTCGAGCCGCCACCAGTTTCGCTTGCAGCAGCACTGTTGTTATCGCTGCCACTCTGGCGTGCCATCAGCTCGCGAATCACCTCTCCACCTTCTCGGATAAACGAGGCCTCGGTGGCTAGGCCAATGGCGACCACGAGGAAGAGGATCTGGAAGAATCGGGTAGGAAACATTTTGTCTAAGACGCCTCAAAGGGCGGGCGGGCGGTTGTGGTTGGTTCTGGAGGAAGGAAGTTGGTCTTCTCGTTTTCTCCAAGCGTTGCTCTTAACAACCTGCTCACAGGGCTGAATTTCCCCTGGTAATTTAAAGTGGTAAGATTAGTTCGAATTTGACGCGTACACACGAGGTACGGCTAACGAGGGTCACTGTTCTCCAATCGAAAGATGGAAGAAATGGAAGAAATGGAATAAAACGAAGGAGATAATGAAAGATCGTTGGACAAGAGAGATGGGGAAAGAGGAGTAATGAAGGTGTGTGGTAGGGGGCGACTTTTCAAACAATAGTGGTACGGCCGGAAGATGGCACTAGATGGAATGGGATGGGGTGAAGAGTTGGCAGACTTCGTATTCAGGTCCGCCAAGGCCCACTAAAGGCCCTCCTGACAGCCAACAGGAGCCAGCCGCCCTCCGCCACCCCCGAGACCAGGATGGGGGACACTGCCACCACGGCACCACCTACAGAGAGCATTACAGCAGCCGATCACAGCACTTACGGGCAGCCGAAGCGCTATGGGCAGTCGCTTTCCGCGGCGACCTGGACCCTAGCCCAGGCGTCATCCTGGGTAAGGTAGCCTGGAACGTCACACGCACACACCCCACCGCTTGGCTGCCAGGCGGCCCAGGCTCGCGTCCATTGGCTCGGGGACAGCTGATTTAAAGCGAATAGTGTCACAGCCACGTTTACAATCGCTTCTGACTATTGCTCTCGCCAGAAGCGGCACCCCTGCATATCCTGCTTTGGTCCAGGAACAAGAACGATGGCGTATGCAATACATCATAAAACAAGCTACTGCGCTTGGGACTCGTGCGCGCTTCGAGGGCCAGCTTCAAATCCCCACCCGCAAACTCACGATTTTCCAGACAGAAAGGAGCAATGCCGACAACAAAGAGACAATAGGCGACTCCGGACAAAGGGACTTGCGTGCCTACCTACATATAACGCAGGTACTTGGCGTCGAGACTAACCTGCAACAGATCCCCTCTCTTGGCGCCCGGCGTAAAGTGAACCCCACCCGTCATCAACAGGTCTCAGCGTCTTACCTCCTCCCAAAATTTCAATGCAATATTACCAAAGAGAGCCCCACTAGACCAGGTACTGGAGGACGATCCAATGTCGACCTGGTACGTAGATATGTACATGCAGTCACACATCGTTTGAGATCATCACCGCCAGCAGGACCAGTTCGACTCCGCCAATCCCGCATTGACAGCGTATACCTTCATTTCCCCGCGACTCCTCTTCGCCAGTGGACTCGACCGATATATGTTTCGGAGTAGCAAGCATGAGCCGTGGAGAAGAGAAGGGGGGAGAAGAGAGAGGAACGAAGGAGGGTCGGACTACCGACCAAATAGCCTCTTACGTGGACACGGGTGTGGCTGTGCCAGTCTCGGGGTCGCTTGGAATGTGTGTTCCGCGCCCAGACTGCCAGATTGAGTAATCATGCAGAAAAGATGCTGTTCGAAAATAGAAATTTTGTCTCTTGACTCCTATGTACGGACGAGAATTTCTGCGTCGTTCTACCAATCCAAGTACCCGTACTCAGAATGCAAATCCAGTACCTCGCACGCTCAGTGCGTTACGTATGTGCAACCAAAAAAAAAAAGAAAAAAGAAAAAAGAAAATCGTGTTTCTCATCAAGCAATTCCGCGAAGAATACCTCAATTTTTAGAGGCCGTTTTTAAGAGAAGGGTATTTGTGTGAAATGAAAGATGTGTGTGCAATGAGTGAATATTTTCGTGTATGCTTGTAATAAATAAGGTGTACCTCCCGTTATTAATTATAAGAATCGCGGTGGTTCCAATTGTGATCTGCGCTAAGAACTCCAGATTGGAACACCTCGATATGATGGTGAGTTATAGCTATGCAGAACTCGGTAAGGAGGAGCATCTGGCCTACTGTCCCCCGGTTGACCCGGAGAGCTCTCGCTCAAGCTCGAGTCGGATGCGCACTGGCCAGAAATATGAGATGGCCCATCAATGCCGGGCTTGGGGAAGTAAGGTCGCGATCGACCAGAACGGCTGAAGCCGTGAGGTGGCATCGACTTGTGCCGTCCAGACCTTTCTCGGGCATCTTTGGGACTCTCTTCGCGTCTGTGGTGCTCCGCAGATGCAATAGGGATAGTACGTAGGGAGTGACTGAGATATTGTCGATGGGGGTCAAACTTATCGCCCGCTTGGCGCTTCGACGGAGCCGGGGGTAGTGGTGGCACCGGCTCAGATTCTCCAGCGAGAGCCTGGGAACGGGCGCTGGTATGGTGTTTCGACCGCCTCTTTTTCTTGCTGCCTCTGGTATTAAGGCTCACTGGTGGAGGAGCCCTTTGCAGACTTTCCAGGGAACTATCCAGATCATTGAAGCTTCCAGACTCCCTGACAGTTTCGAGAAATTCGGGGGCAGACCTTCTAGTCCTGAGGCGTGGTTGCTGCTTTGGATGTTTGGGAACAGGTGCATTGTTAGAGGGCCCGTTTCTCTCAAGTCTGGCGTAGCCCTCGTACTCGATAGACATAGAAACAAAAGCTTGGTCAAACGCGCTGTTCCCAGCGCTCTTACGAATACTTGCAAGACTTGCAACTTGAGCCTCAAACCCTATGAGAGATTCAGAATCTATCCCCTCGTCTTCGTTGAATTGTTTTGAGAGCCGGTGTTTTTCAGGTGATCTCGACTTGGATTTGGAAACAAGCATTGAAGCTGCACGAGAAAGATGCGAGGGTTTTGACGCTCCCGACTGCTTCTGCCCGGGCTCTGCGGTACGCTTCTGGTCAAGACTCTTTCTTGAAACATTTGATGCGTGCTCTCGAAGCTTCTCCTGCGCATCGGTGGGCATGGGAGGAGGGGGGCTCTTCAGAAGTTGTGTAGAGTGCACATCAGGCAAGCTTCGCCGCCTGCTACCAAAAAGTCGCTCGAGTTTGGTTGGTTTTGAAAGCCCGGGTCCTTCATCTATCGTTTTAGAAGTTCCATTCTCCCCAGAGCGCGAAGAATTAGATCGAGTCCTTGCTGGAGACTTTGCGGGTGCGGTCGGGGGAACAGGATGGGCCTGGTTTGGCTGGGTCCCCCTATGGCTCTTCCCATGTCCTTGCGGGACAGCATTTCCAGAGTCAGCCCTAAGCCTCCCTCTTGAAGTTGAACGCGAGAGCTCTTGCGAACGCCTAGGAACTGGCTCTTCGATGCTTGTTCGTGTGTGTGCCTCCCTGGAACGGGTAGAACTTGAGCGTGATCTTGAGGCCGAGAATTTCGAAGAAAGGACGGCAGCAGCAGCAATTCCTTGTGGATTAGCATCAGAATTGTGCCCTTCCACACTTCCGTGTGGCGCCTGTTCGGTCCCGAGTGCTGGCTTTTCCGAAAGAGTTTGGTTCGATCGCACCCCATGAGCAACCTGCTGAATAGAAGGAGCGGATTGTGGCTCTTCGCGGCGGGTACGCGTCTGCTCAATCTTCTCCTTCTCGGCCGCTCTCTGCTCCATCTCGCGCTTTTTCTTTGAGCCAAAAATAGATCGGAGGGAGAGGCTGGAGCTATACCCGCTATCTGAATGTTGTGCATCGGGCCTTATGGGTGAGTGTTTCAAGCTTATGCCACTGTCCGATCGGTTCACTCTCGACCCTGTTGTGGTTTGGCCACTCTTCGTCGCCATATTGGTATGTGATCCTAAGTTGTTTGAGGAGCTAGCTGATTTCTCATCTGTCTGAGTTGTTCCTGGTGCCATTGGCCATGAATCCGAATCTTTGGGCACCTCTCTCCTGACGTCCTTTGGCTTTTTCGTCTCAGTGTTCATAGCTCCGGGACGAGGTCCTCTGTGCTGTTGATCAAAGTAATCGCCATGTTCATCATCTGACGTACTTGAATTGCTCACGGCCCCGGCCGGAGTCGAGACTGGCCCGCCATTTATGATCCTCAATGAGCCGAACTTCATCACGCCAAGCTGCTTGTAATCGTTCTCAGAGGGTGTCTCTACTAGAATTGGATTCTCCGGTCCCGTGAATGGTGATGGGGTCGACAGTCTTCGCTTCATCTGGTTCGCATATTCTTCGAAATTGAAAGACGAAAAGGCCGGTGGCAAGCTGCTTCGGGTGTCCTTCTTTTTCGTTGGAGTAGCCTTGACCGGAGACTCTAGGCGGGTTGCAACACCTGGTGTCTCGGTGGTGGACCTCCGGCGGATCGGGATGTAGAGTGAAGCGTCGGATTGCGTGCGACTAATTGGCGTACTCGATGTGCCCTGTGGATGGTGTCCTCCGGCCAGCTTCTCATAAGTGTCCCGGTCGTAGGCTCTGTGAGGAAGTTCTGAGGATTTATTTCTTAAATGCCTAAGCTCAGGTACAGAATCCGAACAGGCAGTGTCAATTTGCGCCGATCTACATCTGAAACGTTGTGGACTAAAGTTAGCATACTAGTGGACATGGCAATAAGGAAGGATACGAATGACGGGATGGATTGAACCAGGAGAGCACTGACTGGTCTGATCGGTTCCGCGGCGGCCGATGTTGCCCACGAATAACTGTGGGAATATTACTCGTATTAGACATCGACCCATCTGTCGTGTCGTTATTCCCCAAGCCAGCAATCTTCTGCTGGTTGACAGCGCCAACTTGAGGGTGAGGAAGCGCCGGGTGCTGGTCAATGCCGCTTCGTCTGCGAACATTGTCCACCGGCGCGTCATCTCGGCCTCCCTGGGGCTTTGGCTGATCCTTGAGTCTCGGCTTGGCCTGTTTAGACGACCTCAGATCCGGATTTCTTGGTGGGTCGGCCAGATAAGAGTTGGAGACATGGTTCGCGCCATTTGGTTTTGCGTCCGTCCCAGCAGCCTGGGACTTGGGCAGCTTCTGAGGAATCCTTCCGGACTTCTCAGACGACGGATGGTTGCCCATCGAGAGCCCAATTGGAAAAGACGTCAACCGTGGGAAAGCACCTCAATCGTTTTTCTCGGAAGCTTCAGTCGGACCAACCATCCACAATACAATCCTGCTGTAAGGGAAGTTTATCGTCTAAGCCATGCCGCCCCCCTGGACCCCGATCTTTCCAGGCTTCGACGGAACAAGCAGAGGGGAGAGAAAAGTGGAAAGACAAATGGCATTCATACGGAGGACGAGCTGGAAACACCAGCGATGAAGTGGGTGGGCTATGTAAATAAGTACATACGGAACTCATACGAGATGAGATACAGATATGGAGCTCGTGCTATTAGGGGGCTCTTCCCTGTATGTTTGATCCGCGTAATCGAAGAGGTTGAAAGCTTGTTGTGAGTGGCCAATTACAGGAGGTGCCGCTGAAGGTACGTGGCGGGAGACGGCTGCATGCGATGCGAAATCGTGATCGATTCCCCGCCGCATTCGTTCAACTTGGCGCTACTGCTCAAAAAGCCAGTTTCCGATCTGCAGCGTCTTCCGGACCACCTGTCCCGCCCTGGTATTTTCCCATCATCCAGTTTCCCATGTTCCAGTTTCACCTCGGCCCTTTGAGTATCCTCTTTACGTATGAGCAGCTGCCTCTCCGATGCGCACATCCGTTCAAATCACGCCCCTCACTTGAAACCCGTGGAGGCCTTCTGCGCCCCTGCCCATCTGTGCTGTGCCTGCCAGATCCGGGCGCCATCAGGGAAGAGATGCGGAATTGCCTCGACGAGGTCAGAAATCCCATATCTGTGGGTACCTAACTTTGCTAGATCGGCCCGTGGTATTAATATCTGCTAGTGATTACTGAAAAATCAGGTTATTCCACTCTCCGTCCAAGATTTCCATCTCCCCATCTGCATTGGGCTAATGGTAAATTATGCACCCGGACGCAAAAGCTTGTTTCAGAATGAGTCCTTCTGAATTGCCGTGGGTAATGTAGCTGTCATCGGTACGTCAGAGATCATGCTAGTCTGACTCGTGTGCCGGCTGTAGGCAGAGGCTGTGATTGCGATGGTCGCTTACTGCACCATATATCTACAAGATTTGCTGTTTATCTGTTGGGATCGCCGTTGGGTTTTACGAGCCTTCATCACCTTAGGTTTCCCCCGGAAATTATTGGGGTTTTGACTTCCACGTCGCGTGCGGTAGGTATCAGGATTCGGTAGCCTAAAGTAAATTTGCTTACTCTCCAAACCTTATCCCAGCTAGCAAGCGGTCAAGGAGCAGATAGGCAGATAGGTAGGCACATCCCTGCCTATATTGAGGTCTAAATACCATCCAATGCGTTCTATTTCCTCCGCGGCGGCCTCCCGAGAGGGCCATGCCATGGAACATTATAACATCTACATAGTATTGCTTCCGACACCTCTGAGCCAGTCGTGACATGGACCAAGAGATCACATCAAACCGCGGCTGAGCCCGCCTCCTAGCACTCGCCAATTACATACGTGCACCCCTCATCCCCGACCCAAACCTCGTGCACCCGCCCAGCCTCGACGTCAACGCGCGACCCGGGCCCATATGTTACCCTCTGCTGGCTGGTTTCGTTCGGATACCAAAGAGTCAGCTCGCCGGCGACGATGAGATGAGTGGTCAAGCTCGCGTGGGAATGTGGTGCATAGTGGAAGCCCCTGCGTCGAGCACAAGAATTAAATAAGCGCCCGTGTCTCCAACCGCCCGGCCCGCTGCCTATGGGCCTCACTCTGGCATGCTCTTGGTAGGCAGTGAACTTACGGGCCGTCAGACCACGTAAATACGTGGTGGAATCCCCAGGCACGCACCTGGTTCTCTTCTTGAGTTCCCATTGTTAGTGGTGAGATGTTGTTGCTGCTGCTGGAATGTCTAATATGTATTGTGCCCTCTCTAGTGTCCTCTTTCCGAGCCTGGGCGTAAGCGAGTGCATATATGATGTTAGATAAGTCCTCCAGGAAAGCGGGAATTTCGGCTTAAGGTCCAAACCAGAATGACAGCTCATCCCATGGGGGAAGGTCTAGTGTCAAGTGTGAAGAGTCTGGACGGCAGATGCTCAAATCTGTAGCAACCAGCGTTTGAGGGCGGGCTGCAATTGTGACAGCCTGCCCCATGACCGGATGATGTCAAAGACGATGATTTGCCCGCCTCACTCTATACTTAAAATGATAACGAACCCGCCGTTCGTGTCGTGCGCAGCTAGCCGTCCCTAGCCTAGGCCCACAACGCCTGGCTTAATGGACGGGCGCCAATCCAATATTAGTCTGTGAACATTGAAAGAATTCTGGAGATGGTGGTCTAGGCTGCGCCTCCTCTTCAGCTCTTGGAGATGAGAACTTCGACCACAAATGTATGAGCTCTAACATCAAGGCATTGGCTCGGGGGCAATATCCTGCCTCCAGTGAGGTTCCGTTTGATCTGTTGTGTATGCATGACGAATTCATGGGGGCTTAATCACCCTCTCACTGCCTGTGCAAGCGTCTCATCATCGTATGTTCAGACTCCTTGGGCATTGGGCAAGGTGTGGGATTACCATTGCATACTCAGAAAGGAAACGTAGGACTTGTGCTGGTGTCCCGGGCGAAGGACAGACAGGCAGGAACGGCCAAAAACAGCGGGAGAAGCCAATCACCTGGCCACGTCTTATTCAAACTGTGCTGCATGAGCATGAACAAAGGCCGACGTCACAGCGTTTTCAGCTTTGTCCCCATCAGGGCCATGACCTGTCCTCGGCTGGAGCTGCGCCTTTGGCTGCGCAGCGCCAGTGGAATGATGCCCGCATGTTTGTCAGGATACACGGCAGGTAGGTCAGCACAATGCAGCCAGGACCGCCTTTTGGCCCAGAAAAAGCCAGCCGATGTCACCTCTGGACGGTCTGTATGGAGTAAGACCATGCAATCCTTTGTCCTTCACCCACTGGCGACGCGCCCCTGGGCTCATGGAGGCCGCTGTGGGAGTGCTGTAGCGGAGTGGATATGGGCAGCACAGCCCGCTCGATGCGCTGTACATACCCAGCCGTCTTTGTCCAGCGCCTCACCTCAGGAAACCATCTGCGCTGCTCTGCTACCTAACTCGTACGTGGAATAATTCTGAGGGTACCTGATCTCACCCAGACGAAGGGGTGGATATCTGCGGTGATAATTAAGTCCCCTGGCTACAGCTACAGGTCAATTGGGCACTACCTTGACCGTCCCGCGTCTAAGCCATTCCATCACCGCCTCAGCCTCCTCAGTTCCGATCCTTCATGCTGGCCCTGATCGAGCGCCGGTCCGCTTTCTTACTGCTTGCGCAAGGGCCTCGCCGTGCCAAACAAAGCCAGCTCCATTTAATTAAGTCGGGAGGCGAGCAGCTAACGAGGCCGTGAGCTGGGGAGGGGCGTTGCCGAAGCTAATGATTCCTTCTCCACAGCGCGCCGCCCGTGTTGAGAGAGCTCGTTGACCACGGGCGAAGCGTCGTCTTGATTGTCTCCCTGGTGCGAGGCGATATCCTGTCTCTCAGGTCGCAGTAGGTGCAAACAAACAGCCACCCTGCCCGATCCCTGTGGCACATTGCACCCTGCAGGTCCAGTCCAATCCCGTCCAATCCCAGCCTTACCAGTGGGTAATCTGCAACCTGCAGCTGAGCTGCAGGACGATGGAAGGGTGTCCCCCATTCTCGGGCCCAGCAAACATCAATCCGCCCCCCCAGTCCCTCCGCCTCTCAGGCCGTGCGAATCACAATCGTGCTGCGCTGCCCGAGTCCTGGAACTTGGAGCATACATAGCAGCTGGGCGCGCCGTTTTGCTAGTTATACCTCCTCCCTCTCCCTCCCGTCAATCATCATCAGCACCTCTACATATGCTGTCGGTTCCTGTTTGGCGTGGCTGATTCTTCCAGCCCTCGGTGCCAAGCTGCATCCTCCGTCCCTTGACCAGCAATTGGAATCGAACCTCTTTCGCGAGCGCATGTGTTTTTGCTTTACTAGGGAGGGTGACGCTTCACATTCTCCCAAGATGAATCTCGGCCGGTTTGTAAGTCCTCCTCATCCAATTCTTCTGCGGTGGCGCAAGGCAGAACCTGACCTTATCTGGCAATAGCGAAGACGAGCCGATCGGACTCCAACCATGTCGTTGACCGAGAACCGGAACCCCGAAAGCAATGGAGTAATGAAAGAATTGATCTTCATCAGTACAATGTTCCTGCCCGCTATCAAAGGATGGCGCAAGCCACGGCTCCCCCACGAAACCTCGACTTGTCTCTCTACGACCGTGCCCACCCCAGATATGATCGACCTGAGCGACGAAGTTCATAAGCATATAAAGCGCCTATACGAGACCCTCAAGGGCACGGACGAGCTGCTCTCCAAAGAAAAGTTCTTGGCGTTCTTACGGGACGTCCAAGGCGAGCCCAAAGCCTTGCTCGACCGCGACAGCTACTCCCTGGGCGACTTCCTCTATACTTGGAACATGTTTTTCAGCAATGCGGCTAGACCCCTGCCAACCAAAAAAGATCTCTCGAAACCTCTGTCCCATTACTTCATCAACAGCAGTCATAACACTTATCTTCTTGGAAACCAGCTCGCCTCGAGAAGCTCGCCGGAGGCGTATAGAACTGTAGGTGCCTTTACTGAAGATAGGAAATGAGCTGAGGGCTAACAGTGTCTGATCGTCAGGTTCTCAGAAACGGATGCCGGTGCATTGAGATTGATGTTTGGAATGATGATGCAGTGACACAAACAACGACGACAAAACCTCACCGAGTCGAACATTCCAGGGGTATATCGGCAATATCGGCAATATCAGGGAGCTCCCTCCCATTTGTGGCCGACACGCTTCGTACAATGCTGGGCGATGATGAGTCTACCGGTCGTTCGCGAAGCACCAGCAGAAATAGCCGCCCCCCAATTGACCTCACGCCTCGTTCAAGCACCAATTTTAAGTTGGATGGGAAGGAGTTGTCTGATACAAATGAGCCCAAAGACCCTAAAGGGTCCGGGGAGTCCAAAGAGCTGAAAGGGCCCAAAGAATCCAGCGACAAGCTGGAGGTGATTAATGTCGTACGCCCATCCTCGCGATCTTCTAGTCCGAGATTCCCCAAGGGGGAGCCCATCGTCACCCATGGTTGGACGCTGACGACTCCATGCGGCTTCCGTGAGGTGTGTGTGGCTATCAGGGAAACGGCATTCGTTGACAATGACCTACCTGTCATCATAAGCCTCGAGGTCCATGCCGACACAGAGCGTCAGGAAAAGATGGTGGAAATCATGAAAGAAGAATGGCCAGATTTGCTTCTAGATAAACCGCTGGAGGGGCTTGACCCGAACTTCCAGCTCCCCAAACTGTCGGAGATGCGGAACAAGATTCTGGTCAAGGTCAAGAGGGCCCCGGCAAGAATAATTGCACCCCACAACACAATAAACCTTCCGCCTGTCTTTGCTGATGACGAGGATGCTTCGGATTCTGACGATGAGAAACTGCCCTCTGGCCCACCAAAGAAGGCGGCATCTGTCCCCATCACAGGACCATCGCCACCAGTGACACCAGAAATGAAGCAAGGCAATGTCAAAGTGCCGATCTGCGAAGCGCTGAGCTCTTTGGCTGTCTACACACGCAGCGAACGTTTTCAGAACGTCACCAAGCTGGAATCGAGGACCCCCAGTCATATGTTCTCTATTAATGAGAATAGGATCGTTGAACTGGATGAAAAACACCACGAGCAGATGTTCAAGCACAACAAGAAATTCTTCATGAGAGCTTTCCCAGCAGGCAGGAGAATCGACAGCTCCAACCCGGATCCCAGTTTCTTCTGGCAGAAGGGAGTCCAGTTGGTGGCCATGAACTGGCAGAACTTCGATGACGGCATGATGATTAACGAGGGCATGTTTGCGGACGAGGATGGTTGGGTCTTGAAGCCACCGGGCTATTTCCCTACGGACCGAGATACATATACGGAAAGAGATGCAACCCCGAGGAACACTATGGACCTCTCCATCACCGTCTTCAATGGTAGCCGTATCCCATCAAGCTCAGACAACGATGACGCATCTAGCCACGCATCCGGGGATATTAATCCACTGATCAAAGCAGAGTTGGTCATTCCAAAGGCTGTGAGGTCTAAGGACGAAGGCAGCTACAAGCAGAAAACAATTTCTGCAAAGTCTGACTACCCAACCTTTGGACCGAAGGGTCACAAGCTGTGCTTTCCCAGGACCAAGGACATCCTGCAGCAACTCACATTTCTCCGGTAAGTTACCTTAGCTCTTCTTTCCTTCCTTCAATCACCACTTGCTTGATTCAAGTGGTTTTGGCATAACATATACAGTGCATATCATGCCGACACGGCCTGTCTGCACTTACTGCATAAACTCATACACATTATTCTTCCGACCCCTCCTCCGACCTGAAAGCAAGTGCCTCGGTCAACAGGAGGTGACAATACATCATAACTCTCATTGGGTATCAGGGTTCGATCGACTAATATCTCTCCTATAGGTTGAAAGTCGAAGACGAGGGAATAGTCAGCTCTCCAATGCTGGCGTATGCTTGCATTCGTCTTGACCGGCTCGGCCAGGGTTACCGCTTTATCAAACTCCGCGACTTAAAGGGCCAGGAGATTGAAGGCGGAAAGCTCTTCGTCAAAATTGACAAGATAGTGCGAGCAGCGACCTAAATGTCTGCCTAATAGTATTGGGCCAACAGACGTATGGGCATGGCCCCCACCATCACATGTAGCTTGATGTACTTGGTGTACGGATTTCGCATAACTCATAGACAGCAGGCGTTTGGCACTTTAGGCGACAATGGACCCATAATTGGCAAGGTGTTACGTTGATTCTGATTTGGATATTGTTCTTTTTC